TTTCCGTGATCTTCACCTACCTGGAGTCGAGTCGGCTGGGTGTTTTGTTTACTGCCTCGGGTCCCTCTGCAGGGACTCCTGGCTTGCACTGGCCCTCCGAGCCCGCCCGCGTGTTATTGCAAGTTTCATGCCCAAGCACTAATTAAACCCCAACGTGTGCCCCGTCCCTCTTTAATCGTCATCTACTGCCTTCGTTCGCTATTGCTCGCGCTCGCCGTAAACCGATCTCTTGTGTACAACTTCAATTCGATTGATTCGATCGTGCCGTTGACTCCTATTCCCCTCCAAACTCAATTCGCTCTGGACCTTCGTTCCCCTTTTCGGCCCCTCGGCCTGGTGCGACACCGAAAACACACAAAATATCGCAGCGCAACAAAAACGCAGTCATAGCATTGGCTTACCACTCTTTCAGCCATGGCATCTCCTTCGCTCTCGGAGCTGGAGCAGCGCAATCGCCTGCCCACTCTATTTGAAGTTCTCAGTCGGCGAACGCTCGCTCCCGTCGATCTTTTTTCCTTCTACATTTATATGCGCGACCAGCAGCGATCAGTGGATTATCTAGACTTCTGGTATGTCACAACAGTCCTCAGCATAATGGGTGACTTGCGCGAAGGACGGTCGCTAATTGAGTGCTTGCGCCAGGCTGGATGTCTCACAGCATATGTCCCTCTGCCGTCACTATGTTCGTGAGCTGCGCCGATCCGTTCTTGTCGCGACGCCTGATCTGGAAAAGGCCGACAGCAATGGCTCTTCCGCCGCCTTGGACAACATCGAGCATCTCAATGATATCCCTCTAGTCGAAGCGGGACCATCGGGTTCGCGCCATGCCCTCTACGAATTAGAAGACCGCGACGCAAACCAACGACTGTCGGCGTTCCTCCGCTCGGACGGCCATACATCAGGGCACTCTTTGCAGAGCAGCTTAGGATCACAGAACGCTGCCCGCACAGTGTCGAACGAGCAGCCCCCGCAAGATGGCTCCGGGACTCGAAACGACTCGCCGTCGCCCGGGCACACGGTGGCACGTGCGGATATCCGCGCAAGTGCAGAGAAGATTCTGTACACATACTTGCTTCCCGGGGCTGAGAGAGAAATCGTTCTACCGGAGGAGATGGTGACGACGATTATCGATCATGTCGAGGACCGCGGCCGGGATGACCCCGAAGTGTTCGATCCGGCGAAGGACTATGTCTTCCAGGCGATGGAACGCGATGCATTCCCCGGGTTCCTGCAGGCCAAGGCGCTGGGGAACCTTGTGCCTTTGTCCATCATCGCCCGTCTGGCATTTGCGCTGATCAGCTTTGGTGGAGGCTTCTGGGGTGCCTTTTACGTGGTTCTTCGCGACAAGCCCCGACATATACGGTGCTGGGTAAGTCAATGTCTGCCGCTCCGGGTCTTGATACCTTTGCTGACTTGCGTCACAGCTGATACTGCCTTTTGCCGTGGCGTCTTACTTCCTCGTTTCGTACCAGTACAAACTCGACCCCGTCATGGCGTTCTTGGGCTACAGCGAATACACATTTATGACCTGGTCCCCGATCCGCGAACCATACGTGCGGAAGCTCCTGAACAAGCGCGCCACGGCAACGGCCTTGATCGCCTTTTTTGTGGCCACCGCGCTGAGCATTCTCTTCATCTTCGTCCCCGGCACCATGCTCTAGATGACGCAACCTCTTCTGTGTGTGCCAGACCTGCCTTTTGACCTCGACGTTATGCAGCGCCATCTCCTGTTCATATATCCTGTTCCGTGTTACCCCTTTGTCCCTTCGATTCTAGTAATTTTCCTCTTAGCAGATACCATACCTTGATCCTGACTGATAGTCTAATCTCAATCAATAATCTGGATATACTTGAATCATGACCTTTCCGTAGACCACCGGCAATGATTTGATGAGCGACCATCTAATACTCGCAGTGTAAATGTTTGTCGTGCAGCCGCTGAAGCGCCGGACTTGACTTATACTTGTCGATTCGGTTTACCGATCGATAGACATCCGTGGACCTATTTGCCACAATCCACAGATGACATCATGACTTCATAAACCAAGCAGCAGGTTAAACGTTCCGTATAAGAATGTCTCCTCTTCTCGCACAGTTTAATGAGACAGCAAATAGTTCATACTGTCACAATTAATACATCGAACATGACATCACTTCCCAAGAAAAACACGTCGACCAGCCGGTTTGACAAGAAGGAAGAGAAGGACAATTCCGAGAATTTGTTCGATCAAGGCCCTACGAGGCTCGGCGGTATGATCTCTCCGCTGGCATTTTGACGAAGTGGACTGATGACTGATGATGCGAGTCAATGCTCCAGGTACATACAAAGCTGCCTCGTCTGATGATATTGACTTTCCACACAAAGACTATCACGACGGTCCAGGGAAGTACGACGACGACGATGAGAACCCGTCCCGGGCTGTTGAGGATGCAATTCCCGCCAATCCGTCGTAGGCAGCGGGGATGAGTGTGGGATGCGGGGTGGTAGAGTGGGTGGACAGGTATAGGACTATGTACACAACTGAAGGGTTCTGTTTTGTTAACTTAATGCCTTTTTAAAACACACTGACACGTTGAATATGTATCATCTCTTCTTTTCTTATCCTGACCTGGGAGCCAGAGCATGGTCAGTTTTAGCCGGTCTATACCTAGCACATCAATAGAGCACATCAATAGAGCACACAGTCTCCAGACTTCAAGTAACTTCAGAGACTGAGCTTTCTGACCCTGTGCAAGAGCAATATACAGAACTGAGGGTTCTGAGAAGGGCTGAAAAGGCGGTAGGGGACACGGCAGAATACGCATGTTGAGAATGCAGTAATGGCCGGTTTGCATGGCTTGCATGGTTTGCACAGTTTGCATTGGATCGCGCGGCGCGTGTGGACGGAGAGTGTGATTACTTCTCCGTTCCCGGCGTGTTTACTTACTCGCTCCTCTCCCTCTCCCTCCACCATCGCAGTCATGGAAACTCAGGTTACCTCTTACGCTGTCTTCCTCATCTATCGGAATCGCGACTCTTCTGGTCTCTTTGACACTCACCAGTATCTATTGGACTCATTCCTCGTGCTTTTCCATGGGTGGACAAGCTCTCATGTGTTTCCTGTTGCATCTCTGGCCTTCTCACCTCTTCGCCTTTCCACCGTTCAAGGCACCCTCATACAGATCTTACCCCCTGGTACGCTCTCCAGCTCGCTGGAGAGTCTAACCCTAATGTAACCCCGTCGGTTCGGTGCCAACGGCTTCTTGCCGGCGGCAAGTTTCACGGTCATGCACGGCGGTTTGAGCCCACTAGTTGACTCGCATCGCTTTCGGGGGATCGAGGAGGCGAAAGGTTCCCGATGCTCAGAGCGCCATCCCTCCGCGGGGTGCGCATAAAGACGGTTTTCCATGCAGTTCCCGCCGCAGGGCACGCGTCGGTCTACCAATGCTGAGTGTAACGTACTGATCAACACAGGACAGTCTTCACTTGTTGCCGTGGTACTGAGCTGATGATTCGAGAGAGAAGGCAGGTGGAGCATGCCGGGCATCTTCCTCAGGAGGATGTCACTGGGAGCCCATAGTGGGCGCTGATTCAAGGAACTTTACAACCGTGAGCTTGATCATTGCATGTGCGAACTGGTTTACCCGAATACGAACAAACCGGGTGTCTTCGGACATACCGACTGCCTCACACACAGTCATCGAGTCTTTGGATTGATCCACTCGTCGGAAACCGGTTTGAATCTCTGGAACGGCCCAGGTGTTTCCACCGTTCCAGCCCGGATTAAACCGCAGCGAGGTCAATTGCAAATGGATGACTTCCTCATGGTCGATTGGATGATGCCATGAGGAGCCCCCCCCCTTGGGCTTGTTCGTCGCTTTCCAGTCTCGAGTCGGTCTCCAATCATGTATTATGTATCTTTCTCCGCCCCTAACCGGGGTAAAGCGGTTGGCCTCCTTGGTCGGTGTGACTCGGCTGTCCCGTGCATGCTCCCAATCCGAGAGTTGACTGGGGCCTTCGCTCCCTGCGTTCCAACTCTCGATCAATCCCGGGTACGAGACCGGCTAGTGGACTCGTGGATCACGGCATGACAGCCACCCGATCTGCGCTTCGCTCGCGAAGGTCCCGATCGATCGTGTTAACCATCTCTTTGCATCGAGCGGGTGCAGATAGATCGATGGGCGCTGACTCGGCCATAGCTTCGGGTATGGTCCCTCCCCTTGGGGAGAAGGAAGCGGTTTTTATGGATGTTTTGTTTGTCCGTTTCCCCATGCCCTCCACTGTCGGGCTTCTGGCGGTGGGGAGGAATCAAAAACTAGTCCGCGGGGGTACTGTATCACACACAAGAGGCTGAGAGGCTGTTGATCTTGGGAGACGACGTGAGGTCATGATCTGCGCATCGAAGGTTCAATGATGGGAGATAGTATGCTTGGTCAAAGGGGCTCGAGCCACGAGATCTGGGATGATTCAAGACTGAAATCTCAGCAGAGAGCGCGAGGTATATCTGGCCACCGGCTGTGTCCATCATGCTGGTGCCGCCTGTCCTGACCGTCGCTTCGGCAATGCCGCTACAATTGTTGCGTTGGTATACTCTCGATCGTCAGACCGTGCAGCACTGGCCTTTTGCTGTCTCGGATCCGTACAGGAGGCTTGTTATGGGACCTCGAAAGGGGATCAAAGCTCAGTGCTTGTCTGTCTCGTTTCTTGTTGTTTCCGAGGCTGTGGGGGCAGGGTCTTGCGTGGGTCACGGGGAGAGGACTGCGCTTTGAATTGTGGTTGGCAACGCAGGAGTCGAACACGAGGGATGGCCCAGGGTGGTGGGCCGCCGTTCCCTCACCGAGGGCCCGCGGTGAGGGAACGGCCCCCTTTTTTTTTATAAGTGCTCCAGATTCCCCGGTTGTCGCATAGCTAACTACGGTGACAGGTTGTTTTGGCGGCAACAGCTCGACTCGATGACTTCCGAACCGCGGATGTCGAAGCGAACGATCGGTCAGCGGCCTCGGTTTACTGGATCGGGATTAGAGTCGGTACCTTGGGTCTAGAACAACAAATGAGCTATGCAAAGGTTGCTAGGAACATGCAGCCCGCTCAACCTTTCAATCCAGTTCATGATAAGATTCCACCGTGTAACAATTGTGCATCCGTATAACCGACTGTGTGATGCCATTGGCGATGACAGCCTGTCCTTGTACAAACCTTGCCATACCTATCCCTAAATTTACCCACATTCCACAACTCGAACCCACTGCACCATCTCACCACCAAGAACTCCATGACCAGTAAAAATCACCAACCCATCAATTCCTCACAAAACCTATATACAGACGACACCCCCCCCCTCACAGAATCAAAAAGATTACCGCCCCATCCACCCCCCATCAACCGTAACCACCTCCCCAGAAACATACGCACTGGCCGCACTCGCCAAAAACACTACCACCCCCTTGAAATCCTCGGGCCTCCCCCACCGCCCCGCGGGGATCCGCGCCATGATCCCCGCGTTGCGGGCCTCATCCTGGATCAGCGCGGTGTTCATATCGGTGGCGATGTACCCGGGGGCGATGGCATTGACGCTGATGCCGCGGGCGGCCCACTCGTTGGACAGCGCCTTGGTGAGCTGCGCCACCCCGCCCTTGGAGGCGGCGTAGGCCGGCACGGTGATCCCGCCCTGGAAGCTGAGCAGCGAGGCGACGTTGATGATGGCGCCGCGGCGGCGGTGGCCGCCGCCGCCGCCGGTGGCTTCGAACTCGGCGGCGTCGCGGCCGAGCAGGTAGGCGCCGAATTCCCGGCACAGGGTGAAGACGGAGGTGAGGTTTATGTTGAGGACCTGGCCGTCGGGCGGGATTAGCATGGGAGTTTTGAGGGGGTTTGGAAAGAAAGGGCAAGGGAAATACCTCATCCCAGTCCTCATCCGGGAATTGCTCGCTGGGATGCCGGCGCTGGATGCCGGCGCAGTTGAGGAGGATGTTGGGCGTGAAGCCCTGGGCGGTCACGGCGGGGAGGATCTGTTTGAGGGCGTCGCGGGAGGACAGCTCGGCGACGTGGATGTGGGCTTTGCGGTGCAGGCGCGTGGTGATCTCGTCGCGCGTGGTGGTGTTGGATTCGTCTCGCTTTTTGGATCTTGACAGTTAGAATGTATCCAGATGTTTCCCCCAACCAGGGGGCCGACGCACCTGGATCAGAATAATGTCCGCGCCCGCTTCCGCAAGCGCGTACGCCATGGCCTGGCCGATTCCCCGCGTGCCGCCGGTGACGATGGCGGTGCTGCCTTCGAGGGAGAAGAGGGCGGGGATCGACATTTTCGGTTTGTTATTTGTCGGATGGGTGGTTGTATGTTTTGTTTTAACGTTAATTTGTCAAGGTCGTGGGGTTGAGTGGACTCGTAGTTCATGCAGTCTCATCAATTGCAGCGATATCAATGCCGGCGACTCTACAAAAGCTGTCTCTTTTCACAACGACCAACTGACTCACCACCACCCCACGAACGTGGGGGAGGAGCCCTTTAAAGCAACCTTGAAGTCATGGTGGCACTGATTCAATGCGGGGCAGCACCAGCGGAGCTCCTCCAGATTGGGATGATGCAATTGCCGAGGGAGACACAACATTGAACAGAGTCAAAGGCCGATGCCCCGCAACATCCTCCCCCGGCTATTGAAGTTTCCGCTCGGTGCTTATCCGATCGCTGTATTTTCGTATCAGTACCGTCATCCGGGACGAATGATACACGGAGCATCAGCAATTCAGCATCGTATCGTGCCATGAGTCTCTATGCACTACGATGTGACTAGCACATAACCTTGAAAAATCCAAGTCAGATCTGCATCTTGTCATCATGGTACTCATTTCGATGCCGTTTCGACGGCTTGAAGGTTCTACCATCTGACAGACTCCTTTGGTCTGGCTGGTTCCTCGGTACAGCTTCCAGTGCGTACTATTTTTAGTTGATTCAGTCTGATAGCCACACTTTAAAATATCAACCGTTCCTGCAATCTCGCCCAATAGCAGCAAGATCGCCGAAACATAAATGTATAATCATAGATACAGAGAAAGTAAACTCCCGCGGCTCTGCGCCACAGGATGATGTGTATGTGGTATCCATTGCGCCAATGTCGCCAGCTAAGTAGAAAATCAAAAGGATAGATGGTCTGGGGTCCCGTTAAAACGTTCATCGAAAGGCAGAGTCATGCCGTTTATTTCACCTCATTCGCATCCGAGAAAGGGCTTTCCACGCGCGGTGGAATGTGTCGGCTGCTTCGGTTCGAGCGTGTCCCTTCCGGGGTCTCGAGGAGTGAGGATGCCCGGGCGCTGGGTTCGGCCCGGGCATGATCTTGGAATGGGCTCTGGCTGACGGCAGGCGAATCTTCAATCACGGTGGCGGGACGCGACTGCGCATCGGTCTTAGCGGCCTCAGGAGCGTTGTCGCTGCGGGCCTGACTAGAACGCTTGGGAGTCTCTTCCTCATCGGACGAACTGGCGTCGAATCCGGACGTCGGGACTGGGTCTGATTGCTTGGTGCTGGTGGATCGAGACACGTTGGAACTGGTGGTTTCGGACTGCTCCTCGATGGTCTGCACGCCGGTGGGACCATTGGTGGTTTCCTTCTTCTTTTTCGATGCGCCTCGAACCATGACTGGTTTGGCGGTCACCGTCCGCGCCACGATCGAGCTGTTGGTGGTGGCCGCTGAGAGGCCGGCCTTGGCCAGCTGGGCTTGGGTAATGGCCGGCACTGCAGGAGCATCGCTGTTAGCTCCATTGATGTTGACCACGGCGGCACGCGTGCGCATAACTTGTTGCGCCGGCATCGGACTGACGATGGCGTTGTTGCGGTAGATGGTGGTGGCCACGCTGCTGCGTAGGCTAGGGGCGATGCTGCGACGCTCGTTGGACATTTCCGACCAGGCCGAATCACGAAGGTCGCCAGGCATGAAGAAATGTTGGTCGGGGTGGGCACCAGGGAGCGGTGGAACCGGGGGCACCAGACTCCCAGGAGTCTCTGGGGGCGAGCGATTGGTGACACCAGGGATGTAAGCGATTTGGATCACGTTCGAGGCGCGAGTCAGAACGGTAGAGGCGATCGAATTCGTGGACTTCCTGGACTGTCTCGTGTCGGCAGCCACGCTGGACTTTTCGGCTTCGGATGCCTCTTGTTGTTCCTTGCGCTTCTTCCTGATGAAGAACCACCATACCAAGAAGGTCACTATCGCGATGAAGGCGATACCACCGACCACACCCCCTGCGATAGCACCGGCGTCTGTCCCGCCGCCACCGGAATTATTGGAGGACCCCAAATCTCCGCTGGTTGGAGATTTGACACATTTCGTGGTCGCGCACTGAGTGCAAGATTGACTGACCATCGTACAGGTGTAGCCATCATCGCAGGTGGGGCAAGCGGGCGCTGAGGAGGAGCATTGTACGCAGCTTCGGAAGGCTAGGAGGGAACGGGAGTAGAGGACTGAGAAAAGCATATTAGCGATCGGGAGGCACAGACCAAACCGTAGTGTACGTACCGTTAGGAGTGGTCGAGTCGGAAGGATGGAAGGACATGACGGGCGATGGAGTGTTGGAGTTGTGGTGGGAGAGATGGTTGATGGGGGGGGGGGAGTCGGTCGGAAGGGTCGTAGCAGGACGCTGTGTTCTCAAAACAAAGAGGCTAGGGAGAAAGAGAGACGGAAAGGGCGGAAAAAAGAGTGGCAGGCCGATCAACGGCGTAAAGAACGTGGGATATTGACTTTGCGATAAAAAGAGTGTAATACTCGACAGACGTCAAGTCGTGAAAATTGGAGGCTAGGTCATACAAGAAAGAGAGCGCACGAGAGGAGAGAAGAGGAAGGAAGATGAAGAGGTTTAGATGAGCGAATGACTGTTGGCGGAAGAAGATTGGGTGGGAGATTGGCAGGCAACAACGCGCATAGCAGAATGCAATGAATCCAAGTGGAGCTCCCAGGCTTGGGGCAATGGGAGTGGGTAGGATACTTTTTTCCCCTCCCAGTCGGAATGTCTGCAAGTCACGGAGTAGTTACGGAGGAGACAAATCTGTAACGTCTGGGGAGGGACCACGCGTGGTGGCTGCCAGGTACAGAGCAGACGGAGCCAGCGCAAGTGACAGGGGAAAGTCAGGGGAGAACCGTGGGATGCAGGTTCGGAGGAAGTAAGGTAAGAGAGAGAGAGAAAAGAAGAAAAGAGGAAAAGAGGAAAGGAGGAAAAGAGGGAAGAGAAGGAGGAAGCTGGTAAGATAATCAATCAATCAATCAATATTTAATGAGAAGAATTGAAGAATGGATAAATTAAAGAGACCGACAAGGAGATGGAGAGAGGGGGGGAAGAGACGGAGAGAGTGAGATTGTGAGAGTGAGTGAGAGTGAATGAGAGCGAGAGAGAGAGAGAGAGCCAGACCTGCAAGTACGGGTGGGAGAAGCGACTAAGCCTGAAAGAAGAGGGTGTGGGTGGTGGGTGAGTGGGTGAGTGCGGGCGGGAATTGCGTTGGTTGGTGAATGGGGGGCTGAGTAGTAGTAGTGACACCCACTGCAGTCCACTCTGCAGTCTCCGCCTTATTCCTGCCGCGTTATCTTGGTACTAGATAGTCTAAGAGAAAGACTCCAGTTGATGGATGGATGGATGGATGGAGTAGACGGAGACCATTCCGTGGACAAGAGAGCCATTCCCAGCATACACTGCATACACTGCATACAACTGCAGTATCATTGCACAACACCTGAACACCTGAACACCTGAACACCTGACTACATTTACAATAATCTGCAATCTGCAATCTGCCACCCCCCTGACACGGACCCAAAAATATCGAACCAAAGGATCGTGTCTCAGGTGCTCAAGTGCAGGTCTCGACCGTCGCTCGGTCCACGTTGCTTCCGTTGTCTTTCTTCGCCCGGAAATTAACACGGCTGGGCCTGGAGACTAAGCACCCACCGGTGTTTTGCCTCTCTACTCAAAAGGCATGGATCCTCTGGACCTCTCTATAAAATCAGTCGACTGACACTGCACTAGTGGAGTAGTTTGATGGGTTGATTGCTCCATCTGCCGAAAATCTGGTCAAGTTGAGTTGTCAGAGATGAGAGAGATCGGGGCCAGTCAGGGTCAGGTGACCTCGCTCCCCCCTCCCTCTCCCTCCCCTGACGGACGGGCCGTCGGCCGCTTTTGGTCTGGTTGCACCGCCTGGCCGACTCGTGTTCTCTCGCTGCAGGAGGCCGTTCATGGTGCTGTGCCTACGCTATCGATGGGATGGTACTCCGTTTCGTACAGTAAGTAACCTTCGAAGTGACTTGTCTATCATATGCTCTAGTACTAGTAGTTCAAATGTGTAATCTTCCATATGGACACTGATCACTACAGCTGACAGGATGCAACTACCTAGTACTGTGCACTCTCGAAATGACAATACTACATATATTGCTAGCTATAGTCGCACACACTCGTGCTCCAAGTCCAAGATCATCGTAAGACGACAATTTATAAATTAGGAACGCAACCACTCCAACTGAAGGCTGGATCATCAGCCTGAAGTAAGCGAAAGGGCGCAAGCACGTGCATCAGATGGGTGTGATGTCTACCCTACCTCATCGACCGCACTTCAACCACCCTGACCCAATAATGATGACGATTGAAGCTTTCTGAGTCAAACAAGATGATCGCCAAAGAATACATCTTCCTCAATGGTCTCCTCGGCCCCAACATCGTCGTGCGCGAGAGTAAGACCCCAAGATACATACAATACCCCCTCGAAAACCCACCAAGACCGGCAAGCCCGTCCGACAGGCTGTACTGAGCGGACGGGTCACTCGAGCACGCAAAGCTGCCATCACTAGCAGCTACAAGGAACCAACTCCACCAGAAGCTTCCCATAGCGAGGATGCGATTTCGGGGGGGAGCGATCGCCAGAAGGACCTTCCGCCGGTTCAGGGAAAGCCACCGGCTTGGGCAGAGGTTTGTCCCATGTAACCCTCATAGAACCTCATGATGAAAGTCCTCTAATGCGAGAGCAGTGCCGGCCTGACCTCTGTGATGCCCTCCCCTGGTTCCGCTCCGCCCAAGGAGGCTACTACTACAATGGCAGTCTGTGCTACGGCTGTCTGGTGGATGCGGACTCGGGAGTCCGGGCCTACATCGATGACGAAGTTGTCATAACTCGAATGCAAGTATCACCGAGGCCACAGCATGCTCAAATTACCTAGCGAGTGCACTCAATCGACACAACTAACCTCGCAACTAGTGGCGGTGGGTGCACCAAAGACGCAGAGGGGAACCTGGTGCTGCTCAAAGATCAAGACACTGATAGCGTCATCTTAAGCAGCGTGATGAACAGCTGGAGGATGCAGAACCCGGTCGGACTCATCATTGGTACGTAGACGACCGGCTTGACGTGGACATCTCGTGTTAAGCCCTTGACAGGAGATCGAAACAAGCAATTGAGCCGGAAACTCCCCCACCGATACAACG